TAAAGTTAAAAAATAACATTGGAGAGTAAGTGGTGAATTTGACATAAAAAAACATTTGAAAAAAAAAATAAAGCTCCACCTCAAAGAGTGCATTCCAAACAAAAATTGACTTTCAATAAAGAGTAACAAAAATGTTAGTAACACATGAAATTCAATATATCAAAGTCTAAAATACTTTATGCAATACCAAATTGAAATTAAGTGCATATGCATAAAGCTTTCCAAAAATGTTATGCATTTGAAAAATGGATATAAATTGTTAGAAAGATATCATTTATAATAAATCACTTGCATAACCATTTAAAATCAATTTTGATATCATTTAAAATTAAGGTAAAAAATTTAAGGTTTGTAAAATTAAAGCATTTGAAAAGTTGATATCAATTGTTAGAAAGATATCATTTGCATTGAAAATCATTTTTGACCAAAATTCATTATGATTAACTAAAAATTATGAAAAATCATTAAAATTTTAAAATGTTCATTATAACACATTTTTCAACATACATGAGATTAAAAACGATGCATAATCATTTAAATTCAAAAACTCATGCATGCATAAAGCTAAATGAGCAACCAAATAATCAAAATAAAAAACATTAAGCTTAGAGGTTATTCATTCCTTTTCAAGTGTGGCTAGAACAGTTGAGTATCTTTATCTTCATCATCAATGCTCTCATACACCTACAAGAGACATTTAAGTAGATTTCGGTATCCAAATTGCTTTTGGATCCTTGAACATTAGTTTCAATGCTCCTTGTTCCCTTGGGAACCCATACTTGTCTAATTTTAAAACTTTTTCCTTTCTTCAAAGGACAAGTATGTTCCTTGTGACCATAAAAATGACAATGTGAGCATTTTGCCATTTTTAAACATAATTAGTTGTTTTGAAAAATTAATTTTTTTTTCTTTTGTTATGTTCTCAAGCTTAACTTTCAAATCAAAATTTTCTTTTTCTAAATCATTGATTTTAACTTTTGAAAGCTCTAAATCATTTTTCAAAATTTCATTTTGATTTTCAAAATCAACTTTGGCTTTCAAAATCAAATCATTTTCAACTTTAAATTTTGAAATTAATTTCTTATATTAGGAATTCATTGTCTCAAATTCCAAACACAACTCATTATAAGCATCTTGTAACTCATCAAAAGAATGTGAATTTAAATCATTAGAGTTAGAAGATACCATTGAATCTCCTTCGATGGCCATGAAGCATATGTTGGCTACTTCATCTTCATCATTGGAGTAATCTTCATCACTCCAAGCCATCACAAATGCCTTTTTCTTGCTTGATCCCTTTTTCTTTAGCAGAGGACATTCATACTTGACATGCCCCGTTCTTTGAAAATTGAAGCACACCGGGGGACCCTTCTTCTTGCTTGATTTATGTTTCACTTCCTTGGAAGACATAAATCTCTTAAAATTTTTGAAGAGCTTGACCATCTCTTCTTCATCATCGTCTTCATCCACTTCATCATTTGAATCTTCATAGCTCTCATTAGTGGATTTGAAAGCAATGAATACCTTCTTCTTCTTCTTGTTTTGCTTCTCTTCATCTTCTTCCTCTTCTTCACCATCAACTCATGAGTGAGAAGAGAATCAATCAACTCGCCGAGGAGTGAGAGACTTTAGGTCTCTAGCTTCGATAATAGTCGTCTTCTTCGATTGCTAAGACTTTGGAAGATAGTATATCATCTTCCTCACAAGCTTCTTATTAGAGATTACTTCTCCAAATCCCTTGAGACCATTGACAATCACGAAAAATCTATCCGTCATAGCTTTGATGTCTTCATCGGGCTTCATCTTTAAATTCTAGTAGCTATGGTTGAGAAGACTTATCTTAGTTTCCCTCACTTCATCGATTCCTTCATGAGTGACTTGGAGCTTATCCCATATCTCTTTGGCATTGGAACAAGAGGAGACTCTTCCAAATTCATCCGGGCCTAATACATAAAAGAGAATTTGTATAGCCTTAGCATTAAGTTGGAACTTCTTCTCCTCTCCATCACTCTAATCGTCCATCTCATCGGTTGGAATGATGTAGCCTTTCATAATAGAGTTTCAAGCTTCTAGATCGTTAGCTTGAATAAAGAGCATCATCCTATTCTTCCAATAGGCATAATATGCTCCATTGAAGTAGGGTTAGGGTTTAGGGTTATAAATTTTTAATGTAGTAGTCACCAGAGGTTGAAGTCATTTCTTTTTCGGTTGCATCGGGAATCATTAGAGCTTCTTCGAGGATCGTCTCAAGGATGTTAAACCTTCTCATGAGTTAAACTCTGATACCAATTGTTAGGATTTGAAGAGACTCAATTGAACAACCAAAAATGTGTAAAGGGGGTTAGTTGGCAATAGTTTAATTAGGGAGTAAGGAGAGTAAAAGATAAGACAATGAACACAAAGATTTATAGTGATTCGACTTCTCAACCAAGTCTGCATCAATTACCTAAGCTCATCACTTAGGATTTTCTAACAAATCTACCAATTTGTTATTTTTTTCAATGATCAAGAATAACCTTTATAACTCCCTATCTTTTCAATTGGCTAAGATAAAACCAAACCCCTTTTACAAAAGGTAAAAAAAATAAACAAATAAACCTCTTAAAGGTAGGTGTTTACAAATAATTAAGCTCACACAAATACAATATTTACAAGAGAGATTAAAATAAGAATGGAAAAATATTCTCTTTTGTTTGATTGCTTAGATAGGTGTTCTTAACCCTTATCCAAGTGTCCTCAACTTGTATTTATATGTTGGAATATTGTTGTGATTGTTTCTAGTCGTTCAAAGTGTTTTGGAGCCGTTGTGGATCAATTTTCGTGCAAAATAAAGCTGCCCAGAACAGAGGGTATCGGTACTCCTAAATGGAGTATTGGTACTACCTTTGTTATATTTAAATCAACTAGCCGTTGGGGCCTAATGGTATCGATACTATGCCTATGGTATCTATGCTACTATGTAGAGTAGTATCGATACCTCTTTGGGTATTGGTACCATTTTGCATTTTGGAATTTGAGCAATACTGGTAGTATCGATACCTAGTGAGTATCGATACTTCCCTTACCTTTGGTATCGGTATGTTCATTAAGTATCGATACTGTAAAATAGTATCGGTACTACTTATCCAGAAAAACATTTTGTGCACAATTCCAAGCTTTTAAATGGACTATGAATTATTTTTGGAAACTTTGAAAAACTTTGAATAAATTCAATTCAAGTCCAAAAATATTTTGCCTTATTTGTCATATCAAAATATAGTTCAACAATTGTAAATTTGTAACATAATGTCATATCACCATTGTAAATTTTCGTCCAATTAAACTGGGTCTTTACTTAGCTATAATTTAATTATTATAGGTTTAATTGATCAAATTATAAGATTTAAGGGATAAATCAAAAGTATTAAAATTTTCGAATGAAATTGATAAATGCACAAATACCACGATCATTTTCAATTTCCGAGAAGTTGCACTACATCTGAAAAACCTTAAGTGTTCAAGGACTTCTCTTCGATTTTTCTTAATTTCCTTTTATTTTTCTTTACTTTGTAAATTGCTTCTTCATGCGCCACTTTGGATACCTGGAATTTTTTCTAATTGATCATTCAGGCTTTGATCAATTACAAGATTTACAATTTATTAGCATCAGTACAATCACAAAGATAACGATAATAGAAGATGGGGATTACGTAAAGAAAGATAAATTTAATTCCAAATTTGAATATTCACACATTCCACATAATCGAACCAATAAAACTAATAGTATGTTATATCATTCAAAATAATATCAAGTCATTTCACCCGAATTGATGTATTGAATGCCATATCACCTAAATCGATGACATCACATCAAACCATGATGTGACAAGTAATACATTAAACAAATCAATGTCACATCGCATACAGCACCAAACAAATGATATATCAAATTATCACATCACTCAAACTAATAATATAATAATATGACAAATGACACATCACCTACCATCATGATTCAAGTATATCACATCACCTAAAACAATGACATATCACATCACCCAAACTGATGACATATCACATACCACACAACTAGATCAATGACATAATATATGACATGTCACTATAGTATATGACATGTCACTCAAATCAATGACATTACATGACATGTCACCCAAATGAATACCCCATCATTGTTTCAAATGACATGTCATGTGACATTAATTTAGGTGACATTACAAGTACCACATCTTAGTTTAACAAGCCACATCACTTGAATCAATGACATGACACATATTCCATCACCAATTCAAATGACGTCACATGTCATCTCATCAATTTGAGTAACATAACATTTGACACAACACATGCCATCAATTCAAGTGACATGACATATACTACATCACCTAAAATAATATCACATGTCACATCACTCAAATTGATGATATCACATGCCACATCATCCAAACCAATAACACGGCATGATGTCACTCAAATTGATGACATAAATGTGACACAATCATTAGTTCGAGTGACATGGCATGTGCCATGTCATTGGTTCAAGTAACATGGTCCATGTCATTGATTCGGGTGACATGGCATATAACATGTCACCCAAACTCAAAGTAATTATTAAAAGACACAATATATAAAAATTAAATATTAAAGTAATGACTTAAATTAATAAACAAATAAATACATAAAAATTGCTCGAATTAGATAATTCACTTCCGCCCCTAATTTTCCTATCTTTGGTCAACAGACTTTCCCCCTCGCCCTCATTCAGTGCTGCAAACCCAGAAAGAGAGAATGTATCGACTTTCTCCATCTTTTTCACGTACCAAAAAGGAAGGTATTTAAAAGCAAACCTTTGTTGTACATTCTTAGGAGGAAAAACTTGCTGCTGACTCCCCAGTTTCAGCAACACTCAAATGTAACAATAACAGTTAATAGTGTCAATCTTGTGATTTACCGATTAATCGAATAGCCGGGACTGGCTTCTGAAGTACTGATGTACCCTGGAAGATCATTTGGTAGTCCCTTTTATACTTGTTTATCTGTTGCAATATTACATACAACGTTACGATACAATTCATCCCATATAACAGACCACATTCGTTTGATTTCAAAATTCAAGAGAAACGGGTAGGCAATGCTTATTACCTCTTCCTGGGTTATCTTGCCAAATCTGAACTTCTTTGTCCAAATGGATTCCGCCTCATCAGCTGCAGGGAGCAGAAGCATTTTCACTTTTAGGAACCCGAGCAGCTTCTCGATGCAATTGAAAAGGCAGTGGAAATAACCCTGCAATGTTTATATCTTTTAGTTAGACCATCGTGTGTCCTAATCAAATCAAGACCTTTGATGGGAGGAAATGTTTTTCCCCCCCCCAGAAGCAGCATTAGTTACCTGTCCTTGACTTTCAGTACTAGTTGCAACCAAGGGAATTTCAGCCACTTCATGCCCGAAAATCGGAAAATACCAGCTGACACAACCACTTGACTACGAGACACGAAAAAGGAATCATGTCAATTAGATAAGCCCAAATTAAATTATAGAAGATGACAACGGAAATGAAACTCAACCAAAAAACTAAAAGAAAAACGAATCTCACTTGACAGTTAATATTGCACAATACATGCCGCAAAATCTTGTCCCTTGAAAGTTCTCCTGCAAAACCAATTATGCCTCGTTTGGTTACATAAATATGATGTATGTTTAACTATTACACAAGTATAAAGGTTTTTTTTCATGACAGAATAATTAGTACAACTTAAAATTGAAAATAGAAGATAATTATAGACTCTAGAAAAATCAAGCCTCTTCAAATAAGAAAAATTTCCTCCCTCTTTGTTCAAATCAAGTCATTTGTGGCTAAAAACTGGATAAAATCAGTTTATTACTAATTAGTGTACTTCACTTATTCAATAATAATAATATCATATCAAACAAAACATTAATGATATTATTCACACCGCATAATCAGCATGATCACAAAGATGCATAAATGATGAGTATTGCTTACCCATAACCATTGATGGGATGAGATCCCCTTTACTCGATCCAGAGTCACTTATAGGATCAAAGCGCTCCTAATAAACCACAAAAGCCACATCAAAATCGATAGTATTTTAGTCCTACAGCTTTAGGTTCACATCAAAGACTCAAATCAACACAAACTACAAAGAAGATGTCTCATGCGTTAAGTGCACCAAGGCAACTACAAGACTTAAAGCTTACATGACGGCCATACAGGCTTTAAATAGCTGGCCATTCATAGTTGGATAATGTTACATATGAAAGATCAGCAATAAATTTGTTAGAGGTTTTAGGCAGGAAATATATACATGGAAGATCGTGACAGCCTTTGAAAGTGTTACTCTAGTGTCATCAGAAGGCATTTTCCCACTAAGAACCCTCCATCTTATATCAAGTTTGGCCTTGCTCTCCAAACCACCTTCTGCATGCTTCTTCCTCACAACATGCAGAGATGAATCAGGAAGCTCTCTTCTCCACGAACTATCAATTTCTGTAAAGCAGTGAATTCTATTGCAGTCCGCACAACAAAACCAATCTCCTTTCGGTAACTCCTGATAAGATCGTGGTGTCACTATTCATAAACAGAGGGAAACAGAAAAACCATGCGATACTTATAAAGAAGAAAAAATGGGCACCTTAAGATCATCCATGTTATGATCCCTCAGACAACCCACATGATACTCTCTCACACTGAAAGAAAATAAACAGATCATTCAGTGACAATTACAGCAGACAACCTAAGCACAAACAGAACCAAAAAGATACCTGATCACAAAGTAAACAGTACGAGGACCAAACCCTGACTTGCTAAAGCATGACCTCTGCAAATATCACATCATGTTAACAAGAGAAAATAAAGTTCAAAGTAGAGAGAGAGAGAGAGAGAAGCACCAAATAATCAAGCCTCGACATGAGTGCAGCACACAGAACGATGAGATCAGACATTATCAATTTGAAAAAGAACACATGTTTTGAGGTAAGACTTAAGAGTTCTCACTGATACAGAGTTCTGAATAAATCAAATCAGAGATTTCAGTTGTCTAGAATATTTCAACTCTAGATCATAATGTTAGATTTAAAATGTTCACCGCTTTAACCAGGGTACTGGATATTTTCAGACATAAATTATAAAAGACTTAGCACTATTTAAGGTAAGTGGAAGAGGAGGGAGTTTACAGGATGAAGATTAATTCAAAGCAACACAGAAGTATCCCAACCTGCATAGCACACACACACTGGGAACTTCTGCCTCTGGAGTTTTGATAATACGAATACATCTCTTTGTTATCTGTTCTATTGGATCAATTCCAGCAACTCTTCCAGCAGCAACCGCATTGGCATTATGTTGCACAAACTTTCCTTTTCGAAGGTATTCTGGCAATACCTACAGTGCCAAGTACCAGTTGGAATGCGTGGTAGGGATATACACTCTGCAGTTAGCCAGTACAAAGAGCATGAGCCCAACAGGAATTTTTACTGATAACGAACAAGTAACAAGTGACAGATATTCCAATCTGTTTGTATGGGAAAACAAGAAAAACTGCAATTTCAAAATTCCATTGGTTAAAATACGTAAGTGTAATGAACATGTTGTAAACACATACCACGGTCTGAATGACCCAAGCATAATGAAATTATAACTATGTAAAAGTAAGTTCCAAAATGTAACTAACTCTCAACTCTCATAATTAAGTTCAGGTGCAGGTAAAGGTGATAGGGTAAGGGGGAAAGGGGGGGAAAAGGAGGGGGGAAAGTCCTGAAATCAAAAGCAAGTTATGTTCACACATAAACCATTCCCCAGAATTATTGCATCCACAAATATTCAATTTCTCTTTGGAATATCATTAACCACATCATAAGTGTTTAACAATTGGGGAGATGACATTAGAAAACAAGTTGTCTTCGCTAGAACCTTCAGTTAAGAAATGCATTACAGTCAATCAAGCAGAAGTCAAAGGTATCAACTTGAGGCAAAAGATTATATATAAGACTGGTTATAATTTCACGTCGTTTGGAAGTTCATAAGATGAGTTACTTTCTTTATGCCATTGCTAAAATGCATCCAGCACATCAATTGTCATACAAATAAGTGAATCCCGAAAAGTTGCCGATGAAGACAATACCCAAGAATAAAGTTGAAAACTAACCTATGTGAAAAGCCCTCGGACATGTCTCACAAACACAATAGACCCCCCCATCCAAACATATGCTACATAGATCATCATTTCATATGTAGAGAAACTTCCGACTTTTTGATAGGGATATCGACAATTCATGGAGAGAGACCCCATTGATGTGTAAATATTTTGAAAACTGTAAACAAAGGAAATATCAAAAGAAAACTATGTTTGTAGATACATTAAATGCACCAAGTTATATCAATTATAAGA